TGCTTCACCCTTACCAGGCAGAACCAGCCAATGTGCTCAGTGACAGCAAAAGTGGTACATAGTTCAGTGCGAGCGAATGCTTGTCCCGTTGCTTAGTCGTGGTCGAGGCTTCGTCTGTATGAGCAATCTCGTAGATGGTTGCGTGGCTCTGGATTGGAAGTATACCAATGAACAATCTCCCGAAAGGGGACGCCGGGGCTCATGGCGGGTATGGGTCTGGGAGATGGATGGAGTCGTGATGAGGTTGAGGACTTCACCTTGGATTGTGGTTACTCGTCGGCTCTACTAAACTTACGGACAATCCATACAAGACTTTCAATTCCTGTCTGGTGCCATCCCACTAAGACCAGCATCCTAGAGCTTTTATACCCTGAGCCGCGTGGCCTTTTGGCCCCGGAGCTTGGAGAGAGTGGTGTATGAGAGTAGATGGACGCGAGATACGTGGTAACCGGCCTCCGGATAATTGGTTGACGAGCAGTAGTATGTCTTCCCTGAAGTATAAAAAAGAGAAGATCCCATGTCTTCTAGCGGTCAACAAAGACGGCCCGAAAATTCGGTTTGCGAGATCCCGCAAGAGCTAGGCGAGCATCTGCAACCGTTCCGGTCTCTCCAATCCCTCGGTTCGCGGCAATCTTTCTATCAAGAGCTGTTTTCTTCTCGAGTATATCTCAGGAATACACGACTATCTATATGGAGGATGAACGGGGGATGTAGTAACAGCACGCGCTATGTTGGTTTGACCTCGTAGGCATGGCTGCAAAAAGTAGATTAGTGGAATATGCAGTTTATCAGACAGCTTGACCGGATGTACCACGGTGTTACACTTAGGGACATACTCTAAAGCATTCTTGAGCTATATATAAATATCTATCGCTCAGGGCCGTCCACATTCTTTCCACGGTGGTCGTCTCCTCGCCCCGCGAACTGGTTCGGAAGTTGTCGATTCGGAGGTCTAAGTAAGAGCGTAACACTGCATGATCAATGGAAGAACTTATGCACTCTGCGCCTTTCCTGTTCGTTTCCACATTCTATCACTGGCTACGCATATAAGTAGGAGATCTCCCAGGCAAAACCTCAAGCCGCGAGAGCACACAATGGGTTGGGTCATCAGGATCATACTGATCGTGCCATGGACACTTGCGAGGCCTCAGGCCATGTCGTTACAGAAAGGCCCTCCTTTTCTCGGGTTACGATGCTTATTTCGTATAACCCATGCAAATCCGGAAATACTCTGGAACGGGTGAGTGGCAATGAGAACCACAGAACGAGCCACGGAAACGGTTGGATTTCAGCATCGCCTGAGATGTACTTTCTACCTACCTTAGGATAGCTACCCAAGCCTCCTTTAGTTTCCGCGCCACTAATCAACAGAGACTTGTGTCATTTAGATTTCTGCTTAGAGAAAACTCACCTTTAGTCAGTTCTTATATCTAACGATTTGCAGGCTCTGGGAGCGCAGCAACCACAGGGCGGTTAGAGTCGTCCCAGATACCGGTACAAGTCAGGCTGAGTTGTACGGTATCGTTGTAGCGAGGATGGGATTTTCTATAAAGACTGCAGTATGTAGTATGTGTGTCTGTCACGATCCAGAAGGGTACAATGTGGCAGTCGTAGCAATTTAGCGCATCAGAGCTATGCCAGACAAATGACGTCTAGAAAGCTATGATATCTTAAACGGTTGCGCTAAGCTTCATTATGTGGTTTTGCCTGGCCCATAGACATCATCTTCCTTCATCATTCTCATGGTATTCCCACGTGTTGCTATATCTCGGCAAGCTGGCTGAAGACCGGATGCTGAAAATGCACCGAACGCTTTAGCCTATAGCAGCACACTAGCGATCGTTTCATAAATTCTCGTCAGGAATGACAGAATATCATCAAGCCTTATTGGCCTGAAAAGAAGGACAAGCTCTTCACCTCACATATGAGGCTCATTTATACTTGGTGATTGCCCGCATTCAAAGCAACAGCAGAGCGAAGGATTTCCAAATAGCATTGTTGTGGATTGTCACATATTTCCACGGCCAGTGTCGCTCAACCAAAGGCAATGCACATCAGCTCAGCAAACGCTTGCAGCCGGATATTCATGGCCGGCGCCGATGAGGGTCGACCAAGATGAACAGAGTACGGCGATGCTGGCCGTATTTCATGTCCAATATACGGGCGCAGATGATGGATGGAGAGCCAGGCACTTCGAGGAGGTGGCGAACGAGAGAAGGTCGCCAAGCTATGTAGCTAGTTATGTTCTAAACCCGTTTTCAGTAAATCGACAAGACAACGGACGGGCCTTCAACTCATGTTGTTTTGCATCAGATTCGAAATCGACTGGTATAATCTACCATATGCTTACTTTCCATGGGGGAAATCTCGTGGATGTCTTGAGGTCCGTCTCCATCGTGGCAGAGAAAATGACCTTCGTATCGATGTAAGAAATCCATAGCACTGAGCTGTTTCCAAAACTCCAGCACTAAACACTTTCTCTTCCTTCATCCACGGTCTCCATGGTCCGAGGCGTATTCACGATTAATACTGGAGTTATTATGGTGGGATTCAGCTGCCATTGAGCGCACGACGACACTATTGGCCTCGCATCTGAAGGAGGCAAGTGTGATGGTGTTCCTACAGTTCGATAGCACGTACAGCCAGCAAACACGCCCGTGACTTTGAAAGACTGTATTGGCCCATCATCCCGTGAGCTGATGCGCCTATCTTTATGCAGTGAGAACGAGGAGTTCGTACATTGCGGTATAGGTCACTGAAATGAACAGAATAGATGCTGTGAAGGGGCAGAAAACGCATACAAATTGCTACGTTTTGAGCAAAATCATGTGACGAGGTCCTCATATGCATTTGCAGTGGTGAGCATCGTATATATATGCGTGTTCGGCTGACTTCAGGTTCTTTGAAACACACAATCCTCGCTGATCGACTCAGTTCTTCTTCCGCTAACACGCGTTTTCTCAAAGCCGTAAGAGTGACGCATTCGTAAAATGTAGGGGTAGCTGCAGATATGAATGTAGACAAGACCGCCATTTTGTCTTTTCTCCGACATATCTGCAGTATTCTTCCGTGATGGACGACGTGGACAGACAGTAACGGTGACAGCGGCGGTCTTAAGTTCATGTTGAAGGTTGAGCACCTTGCGATGATACCACAACGTTTTCATACGCGCCCGAGCTTTAGGAGATGGTATCAAAGACTCGATTACAACAGACTGTATGAAGACCCATCGCAATCCCAAAAAGAGCCACCGTATATATATATGCGTACGATTTTCTGGATTGGTGTCGACATGAGGGTTGAATTAGAGATAGTAGAGTTAGCTCTTAACAATTCTATTTGGTGAATGTCAATAACGATACAGACGGGTTTGTGCCTCTCGTCATGTCCGCCGAACAAGAAAGTTGGCTTCAGATTGCTCTGTCCCTAGTTTCATTGGGAGATCTTGGCGCGGTCATGCCCGCCAATTGACAAAACGTGTTCGCCGACCGGGCCTTACACCTACTCATCTCGTAAGTAAGCCTTGCCAGCCGGAAGCAGGGAACAGTGAAGCTTGTTCTTACCTTCACATCCAATCCCAGATATTTCTAGACGAAAAGGCTGGCATCAACAAGATTGATCTTGAGCACCTTGGTGGATGGTGACCAAAGTTCTCGACAGTTGAGATCATAACGGCAGGAAAGGTCATCAGAACACCATGTCATGTCAGTCTTGGCTGGGAATAGACTTTTTCAGCATGAAGAAACAATCAAAAGTCAACTAAGCAAACGAAAAGCGCCACACCCAGATGGCGCCGCTCATTCAGCCAGCTAAGAAAGGGGGCGCGGCGTCGCTGACGAAGCGCCTTCAGCCGCAGCAGTCGCGCATCACAACATGATATCGGGCCGGGAGGGACGTTCAGCGCCGCAACATGCTCCCTTCCTTCGGCTTGATCCAAAAAGGATCTTCACCGCGTCTTTGAAAATAGATGACCTGGCACGGAAAGGGGGGGGGGGGGGGGGGGGGGGGGAAGGGACAGGCAGATATATGTAGGCACACTTGCCAGTGTGTTGCCAGGTTCATCGCATTGAGCAGGTGGCACGAGCGACGTCTCAACAGTGGGACGAGGTCCTGCAACGAGTGGCTGAGTGGCCAGCGCCCGGTTGGATGTTCCGTGTGGAGATGGCGGGGGCGCCGCCCAATGCAGAATGACCGCCATCCGACACCTGACTGGCCAGAACTTGGCGTCCACGTCGCCTTGCAGAGGAGGAGAAGAGAGGAGGCCCGTGGTGAGTGGCCAGTGGCCAATCTGTGGCGCTCAATCGTCTCTCCGCACCAAATATTGTTTTTTATTGTCTCTCTGGCCCTGTCTGCTGCGTACCTTACCTTCAGGCACCAGGACGAGCAAAGGGAAGAAAAACAATAAAATCTGTTTGTGTGAGCTGGCCGTGAGGTTGTTAGGGTCCTCCGCAACAAGCAGGTGGATGCTGCTGCGCCGCAAGACGAAACTGTTGGCCGTTGATTCGTGTAGGCAGTAAGGGTACCTGGATGCAGCGTAGTAAGGTAGCTGGAGTGTGAGGTGTTGTTGTTTTCGTTGGTCACTTCAGGGTCTGGTGGCCAAGACGTGGATGCAGATTCCGGGCCTGGAACCTTGCCCAGACTCCAGAGCGACGGCAAAGCCAAAATAGCGACCCGGAAAGACCATACCTTGTCTTCCTTACCTTTCCTTTCGCTGCCTGCGGCATCACCCCATCCATCCCTCTCCTTCATCCCCTCACTCAGCACCGTCCTTCGTTTAATTTTTTATTTGTCTTCGTGTTGATTCTTCCTCGGTTCTCTCTACCGCCGTCGACTTCCATCTTTGCGGGATCGAGTCCTCCTCTCCCTCCACCCTCCAAGATAGCGACAGGGAATATTCAGTCTTCTCCACGTCCTTAATCCTCACCTCCACTCACCGATCTCTTCTCCGCACCCTGCAGTCGGCCAGGCACTCTACCCGCAACAACACCAACATTTCCAAAATGTCGATGCCAGGCGCCTTCTCCCCGGAGCTGCCCCCTTCCAAAGCAGCCCCCGAAGTCGCCAAGTCCAACAACCCGCCACCCCTCCGTCTCGACCAGCCTAACGACGCATATTCCCTCCACACAAACGACCCCTACTTCGACAACCCGGCCGCCGCATCTTCAAGCGCCGCCCTGGACCTGCCGCCCTCCTACACCGACGACCCTGCCGCCGAGCCCCCGAATCCCTCTCTCCTGCTCGCAGACGAACACGCCGCCCCGAATCTCTTCCGCAGAGATCCCGCAACCGGCAACGAGATCCACATCTCCAAGCGCCTCGACACAGACCCCGCCTACCTCGAATCCTTCATCACCTCCCTCGCCCAGCTCCCTCCACGCCCGTACGTCCGCGTCCGCGGCACCCACTCCAGCACCGTCCACAAGTCGGAGAATAAGACCGAGTCCAAGACCGTCGTCGACTTCGACGTCAGCCTCGACCTGACCCCCTTCCTCTACCGCGATATTTCCGCCCGCCAGTCCTGGCGCGACCTGCGCACCGCAGACAACTTCTCAAAGGTCCGCCGCGGCACTGTCTTCCCAACCCGCGCCCCGGGCTTCGGTGGCTCCTCCTCCGCCGGCGGCGTCGTCGAGGGCAGCAAGCCGCCCACCCTGCGCGAGTGGTGCCACCGCTACTGCGCCTCCCACGCCGGCCTCAAGACCTTCACCCTCTCCCGCACCGTCACCGGCTTCGACGATGACGAGCGCCTCAAGGGCCGCCTCGAGGACCTTGTCCGCTCCACCCACTACCGCGGCCGCATCGACGTGAGCTTCCCCGTCCGCGACGAGCGCGTCGACGTCTACAACACCTGCCGGGTCAACCGCTGGCGCTTCTCCAGCTGGGTGCGCTGGCTGTTCTACCTCACTTTCCTGTGGGTCTTTGCCTGGCCGTACCTCTTCTTCCGCACCAAGCGCTTCGAAGTCGTCGAGGCGGAGTGGCCCTTCTCTCGGCGGAAGCGGGACCCGCAGACCGGCCGCGTCGTTGGGAGGGAGTACATCACCGTGTCTGAGGATCAGTGGTACAACATGTGGGCCAGGGCCATCCACCGCGCCGTGATGGAGCGCCGCCAGGGCGAGCTGGACCAGCGGGACCTCAGGGATGCCGAAGGCCGCCAGGATACCAGCTTCGAGGATGTCCTCGCGGGCATGGACGACGAGAGGACCAGGGGCATCGTGAGGGCTGGCGTGAGCGCGATGAACGTTGTGAACCGTCACTTTGGCTGGGGCGGCGATTGCTAGGCGTTTTTCCTGTGTACTGCATTTCTTTTTTGGTTCCGGGTCTTCTCATCTCAGCTTGGATTGGTTTCGCTTGGCTTGGCTTTTTTCCCTTTTCTCTGATGCGTTCATGGTCGGCTGGTTCGGAGGGCGTTTCATTTTTGCATTATGACGATTCCCAGACTGCACGTTATTATGATCGTTTCCGACTCTTTCTTCAGAATACCCCGTTCTGCATGGGTAGCGAGGCCATAAAAAACAGTTGTTTGCAGAGTGTTCGCACGCACCTCACCTCTTCAATACAAGAATTGATACCACTTCTCAGTCGTGCGGTACAAGTGCAACGTGTCAATGCAGAGAAGATGTCCAATGTGTGAGATGCTGAAAGAAGATGCCCGCATCTCCCGTCCCGGGTGGTCTTACACACTGGAGCGTTTTCAGGGTCCGTAGCATCCGCTCGGCGCCCCGCACCCGCTTAGCGCAGGGCCCGTCCTCCGGCGTTTAGGTAAGCTGGGACTCCCGTCCCGATACTTTGGGCCCCAAACTGTCACATTCAACCTCTCAACGCTGCATTCCATTCCACGTCAGTTCACCAAGCTCATAGAAACATACGCACAAGCATGGCGGAGGTCTCGAATCCACGCCGAGTGCTGGCCGTCTCGCTGGCCGAGTCGACGCAGCATCTCAGCAGGGTAATCAAAGGTGCGCAACCTCGTCCGAAAACAGCCTATCTTATCACCCCGCCATGCGCTCAAGCAAGAGAGAGCTGGCACATATGAGCTTCACGACACACTCTGTCAGATGGCTGGCTATGAGGCATAATGGCTAATACGCATCGCAGACCTCACCGGCGCTGTCCCGGAACCAGCCTCAACATCCTTGGCCGGCACGACGCACCTCCTCGACATCAAGACGAGCTACTATACCGCTCAGGTGCCCATCTGGCTGGACCTCATCACCTCGCCCGCCGAGTGGTCCGCCTCCTTCCTGTCCCCCGAGGCGAAGGAGGTCCTCTCCGTGCTGGGCGGTCTGGCCGTCGTCTTCGCCCTGCCGCCGCCTTCTTCATCCACGACAGCAGCAGCTGCACTATCATCATCATCATCACCGCCACCAGCCGCAGCAGCAGCTCCCGCGCCGCCTACCGCGGACGAAACCCGCGCGCTCATCTCGGAAGTCGGCAAGGTCGTGCGCGAGGGGCTCGGCGGGTGGGCGTGGGAGGGCGTCGGGCTGGGGATCGGCGTCGGCGAGGGCGACGCAGAGGAGTGGGAGGAGCTGTGCGCCGAGTGGGGGCTGGAGTTTGTGCAGGTGCGCGGGGGCAAGAAGGATGATGGGCGGAACGAGTTTGGAGGTTTGTTTTGTCCTTTCGTTGCCACCTATCCTTCATCAAGGTCAGAAAGCTGAAGGCTAACCAAGATCCCCAGAAAAAATGGGCATCCCACGAGTCCTGGAGGCGCTGGAATCAAACGACTGGGCCGCCGACGCCGGGCCGGACGTCGACTCGGACCTTGAGGACGCCGAGGCGGAGATGGCGGGCCTGCCGCGCAAACCCAGACCACTTGCTGACGGAGACGACGACGAGTTCGACTTTGACCCGGAGAGTCTCGATTTCGGGTTCGACAGGGCTGATTTCGAGGGGCTGAAGAAGGCGATCTGGAACCTGGAGCAGGAGCAGCAGCAGCAAGCCGATGACGAGGACGAGGGCAAGAAGGGTGACGAGAAGAAGGATGGCGAGGCTTCAAAGAACGCAGCGGAAAAGGAGACGGCAGCGGGCGATGAGGAGGAGAGGCTTGATGCCGAGGAGATTGAGAAGCTGGAGGGGATGATGCGCAAGTTGCAGGCTGTCAGGGACATGAGCGCGGGGATGCCTGAGGAGCAGAAGAGGAGGATGGCCAAGAAGGCTGTGAGTGAGGTGATGAAGGAGTTGTGATTGTAGTTGGTTGGTGATTTTGAAGGGGGGCGGCAAGTCGTTGTGAGGACGGGGCTTGCTCTGACAATGATAGATAATAATCATACATGGAAGGAAACTAGGATGAAGAAAACAACAAAGAGCGTTGGCGATGGCACTGCCGTGATATGGAATCTATGACATCCTTCGCTCAACAGGTAAGAACCTGACCGTAATACGTCAATGTATGGAGCCTCCCGCAGCGTCAACTTACTGACGAATCCTCCGACGAACTTATGTGTATTAGTGGACTGTTTCTTTCATCTACAGACTATGCTTTGAGTACTGCGTCAGTACAAGCATGTTTTGCTTGTTCCTGTCCAATTCTGTCCCCGAGATTTGATCCCTCAGGATTTCAACTAGTTTAGGCGTTAATCAAGTCTAGTAAAATATCTCTGAGAAAGCTGGATACTCTTCAACACCAAATCACTGACCAAAGAAAGTTTCATACATAAGTATTCTCTATCTGAGCTTACAGAGTGAGGATAAATCATATACGTCCCATACGAAATGCTTCTTGACCCGCTAAGAGAGTATAAAATGATTCACAGCCCGTCTACAAAGAGCATTTGAGAGGCTAGGAATTTGGAGGGCTGTTGGTCGGATTAGAGTGATCGAGTAACCTGGCGTGAGCTGAATTGTGTCTGGAGGTGCATAATAAGGAATACGTTTTGAAGGCACCAAGATTCTCAGAAAGATCAGGACAACCCGCGCGTAATCAGTTCCCTACCCAAACCACACGCGGTGAATACCTCCAAGACGTCGGAGCCGCGAGGTGACGACAATCAAATCCGGACAGGAGTGAAATCATCATCATTGCGAGGAGGCTGAGGAACTTGTCGACAACTGATGTCAAAGTTGCAAAGCTCATTTGTAAGTACCCCAGGGACACCTGATCACCGAGATTGTGACTTCGTAGTAACCAAAAGGTCAGGCTAGGCTGTTTAAATACCAGACATCCCAACGCCCACCCCTCCACGACGCAGTCCAAACATCTCAAGACCTATCTCCCGTTGACTAAGAGAAGAGCCGCTTCTGACCATGGCAAGTATACGTGCTCAAATTTGAACTCGGTTAAGTCGCATTACACACCATTTTCGACAGCAAAGAAGCACCGTATCCAGTGAAGCCGCCGCCGTCGATATCGAGGACTATCTCTCTCATAACAGCTCATACCGAATCCACGAGACCACATGAGCTGGAACCCTTGGGGCAAAGAAAGGTGGCTAGATGGGCCAATTATCGCAATGAGATAGTTGGACAAAGGTAATTTTGAGAGGGCCAGGCCCAATTGCAAACGACGTCCTTTTCACATTGTTTAGGAGGCAGGTTTATGTGACATGGCATTAAGTCCAAAGACTTTATTTTGATTACTTGTTACACGCATCAATTCTTCTGGGACTTCATGGTGATTTAGACGGACATTGTGCTGCTGGTCTTTTTGACCTATCTCATGTGTGCGCCACATTCGAAGGACGGGAGATCTTTTCGGCCGCAGGCCAGGCTGTAAATTTGGCAATTCGCTCCGGGTGAGGTCAAAAGTGCGCATGTTTATAGTCTATAGCGCACACACACTCGGGATATTCATCTGTCGCTCCTCTACATGCTCACGAGTGGGAAGATTCATTGTTGTGACGGCTGAAGGCACCGTTCAACTTACCCCAAGTCATACCGACATACTATCTGGGTGTTTCACAAGTAAATTTTGTTAGTTCCATTCGTATTCACACTGCCCATGGTTCACAAAAAGGAGCTATCCGCGTAGATGCCGACGTGGCATCCGCGCCCCTCAGCCCGCCCGCCCCCCTGGACGACGTCGACATTGCCGAAAGCCAATAGCCCGAAGGTCTCGCATTGCCTCCTAAAAAGGTCGAGAACGATACCTCTAATACACAACCTTATGCCAGGCCGCAACCAACGTGCCCACAAGCACCAATGGCTCGGTAGGTTCCGAGCATCTCAGACTCCCTTAGGCCAGCCCCATCCACTATAGGGTTTAATGTAAATGCCAATCCAGTCATATATTTTGTTGGAGTTCGGACGATCTCGTCGTGTTGGGGGCAGCGCAACAGACCCTCAAAAGACCCGGATTGTAAAGAGACAAAGTTACGGTTGTCCTTGTTGACCTCAATATGTAGGGTGATCCACTACTTGATATATCTGAGAGTTCGGCGGACCGTGTATCGGGAAGCCGGGTGCATCATGTAACCTGACGGCCGGGTCAGTCATCGTCACGTCTCTTTGGTTGGGACCTGTCCAAGTGTATGTGAAGGAGTGGCGCCGAGTCAGTGCCAGGCGCGTGTTCGGACGATTCGAGTCGGTCAAGCTGGGTTAGCCCGGAAGGAAAAATCCAGACCGAAAGGCCCTCTCCCTTCGGCGAACAGGCTCCGTCCCGGTAAAGCTGTCATCGGTAGACCGGCCAGGGGCCCCGTCTCGGTGAGGCCCGGGAACATCAGACGAACGCTAGCGCCGATCTTTGGCAACCCCTTGTGCGATCTCGTACGGAGGGAATGGTGCACGACGTCGCAGACAGAAAGTGCGCAGGGAACGTTCCGGCATAGCCTCTGCTGAGGGGGCCCGCCGCCGCAATGCCGATGTGTGGTTCCTCCCTCTCTTTGTCATGCTGGAGGCCCAAGCACGGCAGAGGAGTCGTGAAGTGTTCTGCCGCCACGAATCGCAAAAGACAATGCGGCGGAGCGGTGTCGACGCATGACTGGTGCGTCTTTCCTCACTGATTTCTCTCTCGCAGCGGGGTGCTGGGCTCGCTCGGAAATTTCTCCGCGATGCCTGCAATGCTTGTCAAAGAAGCGAAGACCCGGAGCAGTTTCAGCAAACTCAATTGGGAATGCTTGGCCCGGTGTCACGGCAGTTTTGGTGGCCCTGTTCGATTTCTTGACGCTGAGGATTCCGTGCGCGACTGAGATGCTGCCATGCTGCCATGCTGCCACGTCGATTGCCCATAGATTGCGCATGAGGGTTCGCCAGTTTTCTCGGGGTCGAGAACCGAGCGACCCCAGAACGGCACACTGACCATACGCACGATGCCTCAAATCGACCAGGGCGGCGAGTTTCGTTGTCT